ATTAAGTTGATAAACAAAAAAAAATATTTGAATAATCTTATTTAAACGCTCTAACCACTGCGCCACGCGGGCGACCCCTCATCATCGTAACTCTGCACTTAGTTGAAGGATTACAAAAAACTAGCACTTTTTCACTAAAAAATTATTAGAACACCCCCCCCCCCCCCCCCCGGACAAACACTAAAACCTCTGACCCTGGGAGCACAAGTTTTAAAACTTTTGTAAGAAGCAACCTTGTTCATCATAACTATGCACTTTGTATTCCTGCTCAACACTAAGGAGCAGACAATATTATTTAACAGAATTAATTTTCGCTATGCAATCAATAGAGCCCCCATCGCCCGCGTGGCGCAGTGGTTAGAGTCCAGGAGTCATTAATTTGGGTGGTTTAAGCCCAACCCCTCAGGCCCCAGTGGGGCAGTGACCATGAAGTTACAATTCTTGTTCCCCTTCACCCAAAGATGCTATATGCCAAAATTAGTTGAAGTTGGTCTAGCGGTTGAAGAGAAGAAGTTGAAAATGTTCAAATGTTAATGCGCGACGGACGACGCACGACGACAGACAAAAAAGGATGGCAGTGGTCACCTGAGTGACTCAGGTGACCTCAAAAAGGAAACATTTAAAAAATTCATCTTTTTTTTGTAGTCTGCTAGATTTCGTTGATATATATGCTAATTTGACAAGTTAATTCAAATTCTATCTGTGAATAACTGTGAATAACTAGTCGGATGGAGTGTATGACAACCATAGACGATTATTACAATATTTCTATTAGAACAATTTCAAACATTTGCTCGCGTATCATCAGATTTAACGGAGATTTAACGGCTCCGATAAATCGCCATGTTTGATCTTAGTTATATACGTGTTTGAATAATATGCTTGTACGCAAATCACAAATAATCTAGGTTAGTAGAGCGTTTTCTTAAAAACTGAAAGTACAAAAATATATAACTGAAATGTAATTATGTTCTGGAAAAAAAATCGTTCGCCATGTGGGCGACCAGATTTTTAATATCTAATCGCCCACAGCAAATTTTACCCACAACCCGTAATCACATGCCACCTCAAATTCTTTCCATTTTTTTTTATTGAGAATTAATTGACAATAACGTGAATAAGATATACAAACAAGTCACAGATATTAAAAAAAAACAATAAAATTCCATCCATTTATATTATTCATAATCGAATAAACAGATCATGTCCTGCGTTTTCATTTCTCAAAACTTGTTCTCGATAGCTTTGACTATTCATTTTATATATATACTCATGAGACGAGTTTTATGTACGTTAATGTTAATTATTATAAATGATAACTGTATACATGCTCAAAATTTGTTATCCATTTGTGTGGAATATTCTTCTGAACTATGTAATTACACCGCGAAGTATTGCTAGATAAACGAGGTAAGTTATTGACAAACAAGTTGATGAAACAATATGAACAGTCTCGTTTAAAGTCGTCATTTCCTAAGATCTATGGTGGATACCTTTTCAGCAAATACAATCTCATCATTAAGTCAAATGCTGACTGGCGTTTCTCATACTAATTGTTAGGCCAATTATTTTCACACTGAATTGTTTACGGATTTTAACGTTATTTCCCGATCATGACGAGTATCACACGGCGGGTGTGACCAATTGACAGGAGATGCTCACTCCTCCATGGTACCTGATTCCACCCCCGATGTTTTAGAGGTCCGTGTTTTTGCTCTTCTCCTGATTTGTTTTATTTAAATGGAATTTTAAGCTTGAATATTCCTCATTATCTCCATATTTTCATTAGAATAGATTTTTTTTAAATTTAGTGTATGTCTGCAACTAAAGATATTTCATGTCTTCAGCGTATAATTTTTTAAAAATTGTTTTTTTTTTTTTGCTTCATGAGTATGTCTTTAAAAGACAGACTATAAAATGTTGACACTATATGCCTCTGCTAGAGAGAAAAACATGCCATGTAGTTCCATCTCTTCTTCATTTGAAAGTTTTTACTGATTTTAGCATCAAATATCGGGAAATATGTTGATTTAATGACCAATGAGTAGTGATCGTCAAAGGTTAGTCAGAAAAAGTAATCTTTTCTTATTTATGAATTAATTTGAGAAAGACTGCAAAACCAGATTTAAAGCGACAGTACAGCTGCAAAACGCGTGCTTTTTTCATTCAAATTTACCCAATATATCATTAAGTAATAAGGTATATAGTTGAAGTCAGCAGTTTGAGAAACAAATATTCTCTCCTCATACAAAGTTAACGTAATTAGAATCTGCCGGAAAGTCACGGGTCGTACAAACTAGAGCAATCTTAGGTCTGTTTATTTGTACCACGTGAATTCTAAAATGGCACGTGCCTACACTGTAGAGTTCACAATTATAATAGAATATGAGGTAAACGTAATTCTCAAAAGCAAAATATAATAACTTTCCGAAAAATTAACAACCGTGAACATTTTAGTCTGCATTCAGACGAATTTAAGAGAATTATAAGTACAAATGTTGACGTTTTGTGTATTGGGGTCCGAGATTCGGAGAAAGGAAAAAGCAAGTTATCGCGGCAAAACGTCAAATAAATATTTTTTGCGCAGTTCCACTAAAATTTGCACTTCAAATGGCAACAATTTTTATATATCATAGGTACATTTTTATGTTGAGTTTACACTGATTTTTTTTCTTTGAAAGCCATGGAGATATGAGAAATGATAATATGTATCAACAAACCTGTAGAGTTGAACCTTCGCGAGCCCAGCGTGAGTGTCGCCGAGATCCCGTTTCTTCTTCATCCAATGTTTATATTAATCCCACAACTAAATTTTAGTCAGGAAAGGTGCTTTTTCAAGCTCTATTTTCAGTTTCTTTTTTTTTTCTTCTTGGTCGACTTTGTCAGTGTAGCAGGCCTACGGGGATACCTTCTCTTACCATGCTGTTTTGTTTATGAAAACTATGCATGCGTGTATAGCATGGAATGTGGAACCCCGAACACGTTGCAATGTGGATATTTATGGTCCATAAATAATTATTAATTTTAATGAAATAATCAAAATTATTTAATTATGAAACTTGTAATTTTCTGAAAGTGCATAAATATATGAGTAGTAAGAAAATTCCAAATCCTATTGGAAAATTTTATTAAGTCTGTTTTTTGATGAGATGTGCCGTACTGTCACTTTAAAAAAATGAATAAGGTACTTAACAGTGTGCTTTCTTTATATTCAACAGGGAAGAAAGAACAATATTTATGTCAGAATGTGTTAAACGCACTGATTTTATAGCATTCTTTTGCTGTATATTCCAATGACTTGAATAAATTTATCCAAGTGTGACGTCGAAAATGGTGATATTTCGGCGCTTGTCGTTTGTTGTAGGTTACAAATTCGTCTAATCAATATGTGAACCAGTTCATTTTACATTGCTGTCAAAATGAAAGACGTATTGCATGCATCAAAGCCATATCCGGATTGGCAATGAAAAATAAACCTGCGTAAAGGCATGGTAAAGAAGAACTCGCGATCTATTTACATATGTATATTTTGTACAGTGCAAATGGGTACAAACTGCTTTCGTATGAATGCGTATTAATTTTTCATTCTATACTTGTAATAAAATATTGCAATATATTTAAATCAGGCGCGGATCAAGGGGGTCCACCTCAGTCAAAAAAAAATTTCTAACCCAAAAATTCTTTCACGAGCAAAAATAAAAAAAAAACAACAAAAAACGAAAACAAAAAAAAAAAAACAACGTAAAATCCATTTCCAACACGTGAACCTCACCTCCGTGATGGTGATAGTGGGGTCCACTTTTTTTTTTTTTTTGAGGGGGGGGGGGCAAAGTCATTTTTATTTGCATCAGTGTATGCTTTAGTAGCTCTGCAAATTCCAGGGGGGGGGGGGGCATTCCGGACCCCGACCTTCGGATGTAACCGTATAAACCGAGGTCCGGTGTCGCAGTAAGTGCTGGCACGAAAAAGATCCCTCACTGCTCAATGGCCCTGAATGCCGAGTATAGGTCAAAATTTGTAGCTCTCCATCGGCAAGTGGTGGCGTCTCCATATGAGTGAAAAATGCTCGAGAGGGACGTTAAACAACAATAAACAAACAAACAATGTTGAATATATTTAAGAAATAAGGTATCATTTTAAAAGTTTTATCGGAATGTAAATACGGGTTGGTCATGTGATCAAATCCCGTAAAGCCCGAAGGGCTTTATGGTAGATTTGATCACATGCCAACTCGTATGATACATTATTACTTATATTTACATTTGTGACTGATTTATTACAAATAGTAAGGTACTAAAGTTTTAAACCCATAAGTGATTTATTTTTTTTTTCAAAACTCAACGGTATAAATTGAACGTGTTGGAACACGTCGATCACTTATGACGTCACTATGAAATTACGTAGATCGTTTATGACTGAACAATCAATTTATGATCACATGACGAACGTGTTTTACACAGATGTAAAAACGCCTTGTTCAAATAGTGTTATACAAGGGAAAACATTTGCAATGTAAATATTAACTCTTATTCAATGGAATGGTAAAATTATATTTTTTACGTTTATTATGTAGTAAAATAAAAAATTACATCTATTAATTACAATTTATTCTCATTACCAAAAAAATTACATGTTTTTGTTACGCAGTTGAAAGAGTAAGCAATATGAAAAGTTACTGAAGTTTTCCTCTTAATAATATACTTCAGTTAAGGTATAGAACTACAAGAACTATATCAATTAATCATATATTAAAAAATAGTAATATAATACACATATACATGAGATTAAAGTCATTTTGACATTTCCCCTCTCAGAGATTTATTTGTCCCTATCCTTAACAAGATTCACCAAACATTAAAACGAAATCATAAACAATAAATTCTTATAAAGGACAGATAAACACATTTATGTTTATGAACTTTAGTACTTTTATGAACACAGATGTTATCGATGTAAGATGGAGATATGACAACTTTTATATTTCAAATCAAATCATATTTTAGGTTCTTTCTTCCAGATTTTTTTTCCACAATGTTATACACACTTTCATAAGAGAATGTAATCATTGGTTGCTGTAAATATTTTCCTCTGATGTTTCCTCTTGTGTGTGGATGTAGTCCAGAACAACATTGTAGATCATCATGTACTCCTCCTAAAAAAACAACAGAAATCATAAACAGGTCTGAAAGTGACAAACATTTATTATTGCAGAAAGTAATATCACATAGAAAACTAGTGCTAATTGTAACGGGAACCGTTACAGATGTTCCCCAAACGGCTCCCCAAATCCCTTATGATGCCCCATTTTCTACAAGCTTCAATAAATTAGACAATACTTTTGTAATATAGATGGACACTTCATTTTTAAGGGTATTTCATTGGAAAACTACTCCGATATAGCCATATGGGTATTAGCCAATCAAATTTCAGCGCATGTGCTTGCACATGTTTTCTACATTTTTCACTTTAATTTTCTTATAGTGTCTCACAATACATACAGTTGTGTTAAATATTAAAGAATTTCATTGAAAAATAAGAGAGATGTAACCCTTTAAGTATTAGCCAATCAGAATTCAGCATACGCACATGCAGGTCCTTGCATTCAATTTTGATAGTATTATAATGTAGGAGCTCTATGTGCCTATCCATGTCATAATGTCATAAATTTCATCCTGTTTTGTTGAAAACCAAGGGAGTTATAGACATTTAAAGTTTCAACCAATCAGATTGCAGCACACCTGCATGCGCGTGTTTTCAAGAAATTTCCTATATAACATGTTGTAGCACCTTATAATATATACTTATATTCTAAATTTCAAAGTATTTTGTCAAAAAACAAGGAAATTATTGAGATTTTTGTATCAGCCAATCAGAGAAGAGCGCACGTGCATGCGCGTGAGTTCACGCTAATTTGACCATGTTATCTTGTCTAGAATACTAATGTATCTTTATATTTTGAGTTTCAAAGCAATTCATCAAGAAATATCAAAGTTACGGCTTCATCAAGTATATCAGTCATTTCACTCATTGCACGCGCGCGCACGTGCATGCATGTGCGCGCAAAATGACCTTCGTTCCGAACACCTACACAACATGCCTATTAACCCTAAAAAGGTTTCATGTCAATCGGATGAGTGGTTCTATGAGAACACTCGCGGACAAAAAAGTACCGGAGAAGAAAGTAGAAAAAAAGAATAATAATAATAATAATAATAATAATAATAAGAAACAGAGTAAAAACAATATGTTCCCAAACTTCGTTTGGGGAACATAATTATTGATTAATTGCATCAAATGTATGGATGAGATGAATTTATGATAGACATTACCATAGTAGAGCACAGTTCTGGACGTCTTATCTGTAACTGTTGGACAGCAGAGAAAATGTCCACCTCCCCGTCCATAGACAACTGTTGTAGTGTGTTATATACAGCACAAAATACACCACACAGGGCTGATCCATCACTGGTAATGAAAATAACATTAATATCCATAGACAACTGCCAAATACATGTATATTACACACATCTCATTTGAAATTCAAATATCAATGCAGGGTACAGATTTGCTTTAGAAATAGATGAAATTGTGTGTTTCCTTTAAAAAATAGACACTGAAAGTAAGTTACCAGGAAGGTCATATAATTTCCATTGCAAATGTCAAAAAGCATCAATTCGTTATTCCATTAGATGAATGTATGCTAATAGTTCTTTCAAATCAAGCGAGTCCTCGCCCAGGCAACCATGAGTTTGTTAAGATAGAATGGACACAAAACCAATAATTTAAAAAAAATGATTTGTGAAGAATCAGAATTCTGTTTAGGTCATATTGTGTTATTCTGCTATATTTAAATCAGTTACTTTCATGTATTTTAACGCTTTATCTTCTTTATTACCTGCTGACTACTGTAATGGGACCCTCGGTTTCACTTTGAAGTGCACAGGAAACCAAATGTAACATTTGCATTGTCACCTGAGAGTTTTCTGTTATTTTCAAGCTATCTTTTGGCTGTATAATGGTCACCGAGCATCCTTCATCATTCGCCTGGTTTACAAAATGAAGCAAAAATTGCATAGAACAGTCCAGTACATTACGAAAAACTGTAATATTACAATTTTCCATAATATAGTCTAAGTACAGTACCAACCACACCCAACCTGACACCAAAGCAGTCCCAGAAAGCAGTCCCCGGAACCGCTGTGGGACTGCTCTGGGACCGCTATGGCACTGCTCTGGGACTGCTGTGGGACTGCTCTAGAAAGCAGACACAGCAGTCCCAGCAGTCCTTGGGACTGCTTTGTTCACTCATGCGTGAAAAAGGTTCTGAGTGACATGATAGCTCCGCCCCTTTTGTATTCTGAATTTGCAGCTCCTTGTTGTTGTTTTGTTTACCTTCTGCAGAGAGGTGTTTAAGATAAAGGCAAATATTAAAAAAAACAAGTATTAATTTCTTACAAAAATTAAATAGAGATAGTTATACATGTAATTACTAAATGTCATCAGAGGGCTGTAAGTTTACACTATTGTAGTCTAGAATTAATTTTAAGAAAATAAAAGTAGTTAAAAAGGGAAGTCAGGGGATGATTTTTATCCTTTAAATTAAACTTCAAAACAGGTGTTTGAAAAAAAAATTATCTAGGCCTATTTAATAAATTAATGCTGTCAAATTACATATGTACTCAAAGTTTGCATTAGCACTATTTTAAAAAAACAAACAAACTTGTCATTTCAGTAAGATACATGTATTCAGAGGAACGTATTGTACTGGATTTTTTTCTTAATTGAAAAAGCTAATACCATGCTTAAACAAGAGGCCCAAGGGCCTTAACGGTCACCTGAGTATGTTACAATAATTTGCATTATGCATAGAGTATAAAATGAACTGAAAGGTGAAGCTTTGTTGCCCAAAAGAAAAAAAAATAGGGTGATCATGGTCAACAAAATAATTGGTCTTAATATTCATTAACAGTTCATAAATTAGGTTCTAATCTGTTCCCCATTTATCACTATCACCATACAGTATATTAACAAATTATCAATGCTTCTGTACTATTTTAATCCCTTGTTGAAATCTCTTACATTGGCCTCTCTTGGTCTTTGATGAACATTTAATAAGACAAGTTATTTTTGTCTAATTTTTATTTATCTACTACTTACAAGTCTACCTGATCATTAAAACAATGAAAGTACTTTTTGTATTATACAATAAAAGTTTTTGCATAATTCTCTTATTCTATTTACCTTTCAAGTACATTATTAACAGTGATAAATTATCAAAAGTAAATGGCAAAGGGGAATAACTCCTCTCAGTAGAATACAAACTAATAGAGCCCTGGCCAGGACCAGAACACTTGACCAAATGGTCCAGATGTTCAAAAATCTGGTAAAAATTCCCTTCCTTATAAATTTTTTTACTCTATTTGCCTCAGATATGCCCAGGTGCGGAGAAGATTTTTAAAGAAATAATGCATTTTTACTACAGATTCACTATATTATCAATAGACCCCCCCCCCTCAAAAAAAAAAAACAAAAAACACCAGAGCTTCTGACCCTGGGACCATAAGTGCTCATCATAACTAATCACTTTGTTTATCTGCTTAACACTAAGGAGCAAACAGGATTATTTAATAGAATTAATGCATTTTCGCTATATTATCAAGAGCCCCACCCTCACACCAGCACATCTGACCCAGGGGTCATGAAATTCACTACTCTGAAAGAAGCACTCCTGCTCATCATAACTATACACTTAGCTTCTTTGCTTTTTTAACCAGAAGCAGAAAAGAATATTTTCAAAGAAATTTTAATTTTTCACTTTATAATCAATAGAAGCCCCCTCACCCCCCCTCTCACCAGAACCCTCAAACCTGGGGTCATAAAATTCACAATTTTGGAAGAGGCATCCTTGCATACCATAACAATGTACTTAATCTGTTTAAACAATACCCAGGGGCAGAGAAGAAGATTTTCAAAGAAATAATTCACCTACACTATAGGATCTATATAGCCCCGCCCTAGCACCAGAACTCCTGTCCCCAGGGCCATGAATTTCACAATTTTGGAAAAGGTATCCTTGCTTAACATAACAATGTACTTAGTTTGTTTAAATAATACCCAGGTGCAGAGAAAAAGATTTTTAAAGAATTAAAACATTTTCACTTTATTATCAATAGAGCCCCGCCCTAACACCAGAACCTCTGATCCAGGGGCCACGAATTTCACAATTTTGGAAGAGGCATCCTTGATTATCATAACTATGTATTTAATTTGTTTCAATAATACCCAGGAGTAGAGAAGAAGATTTTCAAAGAATTAATGCATTTTCACTATATAATCAATAGAGCCCCGCCCTAACACCAGAACCCCTGCCCATGGGGCCATGAAATTCATAATTTTGGAAGAGGCACTCTTGCTCATCATAAATATGTACTTAGTTAATCAATTTAATACCCAGGAGCAGAGAAGAAGATTTTCAAAGAAATAATGCACCTTCACTATATGATCAATAGAGCCCCGCCCTAACACCAGAACCCCTGACCCTGGGGCCATGAATTTCACAATTTTGGTAGAGGACTCAATGCTTATTACAATGATGCCAACAGTTTGACTGCTTGATGTCCAGGAGTAAAGAAGAAGATTTTTAAAGATTGCATTCATTTTGGTGGTTTTAGCCCCACCCCTCAGGCCCCAGGGGGGCAGGGACCATGAAATTCACAAATTTTGTTCCCCTTCACCCATAGATGCTATATCAATAATTGTGTATAAATTTATTTCGGGATTAATTAATTTTGAACATAATCTGAGGGTTCCATTTGCGTGATTTACAGATGTACACTCGAACATTTAAATAATAAAACACTTAAAACTGAGAATCTAAAGATAATTAAATTGGGAAGTCATTGAAAATAATCATGACTGAAATATAATACTCTGCAATGTTTAACAAAGAATTTTTCAAAAGCCCCAATACTTAAGAAAAATGCATTCAGAGTATAGTATGGGAATCGGCCTTGCTCTATAATTATTATTATCTATTTAAAGCTAATTCTGGTATAAAATAAACAATTCAAGTTTAATTTTCTATACAAAAAAAAAATAAATATGAAAACCAATATCAATCACAAAAAATAAAGAAATTGGTTTATTTTGGTTAATAATTAATATACCAAATAATTGTGTTTAAATATTCATGTTATTAATAGGTGTGAACGTCTTCTTCATTCAATAAATATAATTTGTTTCTATACGCGTACTATATTTTCTTAACAGTTCAGAAATGACTGTCGCGTAAGAATTGTAAATATTTGTTGATACTACTCAGAAAGAATTGCTCATCAATTTCAACTGCCTTTTATATAGTTACATTGTTTATTGGTAATCTCATTCTGAGTAAGCTCCGCCCATTAAATTAATTAACCCCGCCCACTGGGACTGCTTTCTTGGACTGCTGGGACTGCTTTCTGGGACCGCTGGGACTGCTCTGGGACCGCTCTGGGACTGCTTTAGCAGTCCCCGGGACTGCTTTGTGTCAGGTTGGGTCTGGTTGGTACTGTAAGAGTTATCTCCCCCATTGTAAAAATAAATCTAATGCTTGATCAAATCTGCATCTAGCTCACAGCAGGACCAGTACTGTCACTTACTCTAAGAATAAGAAGTAAAGTAGATACCTTAGGAGTATCATGTATCTTATCTAAGCCTTAAGATTGGTTTTATACAAAATTATCAGCTGGATAATCATTAGTGCATTAGTTACAATAAGAAAGCACCATGATGGTCGGAGCAAAACTAGGAAGGACGGAGACATAAGACCAGTATTGGGTCACTGGGTCAACTTCAAACTATAGAAGAACATTAGTGCCAATCCCAGAAAAATTCTCTTTGGGAGATATTGACATCCAAAGTGTGCACTATGTCAAAGAAAGTGAAAAAAAAAGAATAATTTTGGAATATTTCTTACCGTGCACCATGAAAACAATTAAAACAGATGTTTGTAACCATAATATAGCATAATGAAACATTTGTAAGGCTTAATTTTAATATTTTGCACAACATTATCTATATTACAGTTTTCCGTAATATTACAATTTTTCATAATATATTATGAAAAATTGTAATATAAAATCTTATATTGCGGAAAACTGTAATATTACGGTTTTTCATAATGGACTGGAGTGTAGAAATATACAGCGAAGATTATTTTAGCAACAAAAATATCTGAAATCAGAAAAACTAATCTATTTTACCTTATCTGTTCCATATATAGTACCTACCCCATCTTGGATAATGCTGATTGTTGTACATTTAATATCTGTGACTTGCTCTTGTCCACAATTTACCGTGAATGGAGAGACGGTTTTTATACTATTGGCAGCGGGAAGCCATATCTTCGTCTATAAATCACAAAAATATCATGATAAACATTTTTTTCATTATCTATAAACATTCGCTGAACTGAAATCCAATACTAGGATTAATGTACTCACTGATTCCACTTTGGTTAGGGGATCCATACAAATGACTACGTCTGATTCGTGATCAGTGAGCAGGCGCAGAAAATCTACAGCTTCCTCTGGCGGGGGGTAGTGTGTTATTATGAATGCCTTGTTCTTAATGTAAGACTAAAGTCAAAATGAAAGCAAAAAAAGATATTTAAAGCGCAATATACGATGACGCAAAGGAAGAGTTTTAAGTCATTATGTATAGTTGGCGACATTAATTACAAATATGGTGTCAATTTTTCTGCATTGTAAATATTTGTTATTTCTTTACATTTATACTGATTATAATCTACTTCTTTTTTTCTACAATATCCATTAATTTGAAAAACTTTCATTCATATATCCAAGTGAAATTATCTCTATGTTCTTTTTTCCTAGTAAAAGGAAAATCATTACAACTGATAACTAAGCATAAAAAGTGATTTTTTTTAAAAGTTACATACAGGAAGTGTAATGGCATTGACGTAATTCCCGCGTTTTGGTACACTTGAGGACAGGAAGAGGCTATACTTGTCAACTAGAGAAGAGAAAACTTTATTCTGTACAAGTCACTGACTGGACTATGGCTCAAATGATTGTACACACACACACACACACACATATATATATATATATATATATATATATAAGTAAAGCAACACCTTTGCTTTCAACCTTGTGGAAATACTGTAATGGCGACGTTAAAAATATTTTTAATGATTAAGTTTACATGTGCACCTATCTTCTGTAAAATTTGAACAATTTTTTTTAAATAACCTTGACAACATCATTTGTTCTGATCAAGATAAGGAGGAATATTCTTTCATTTACACAGAGGAAAGGACATTCTCTTAATGCATTAGCATTGACTTATAGCCCTGGATGCATAATAAAATGCGACTTCCTATCATAAACTGTATGAAAAAGAAAACTTTAGTTTTTCTATCGTCAAGTTTTCATATTTACGCAATATTCCATTATAACGTTCATATGCAGAGTATAATCCAGGATGCGATGAAATAGGGGAGAGTCATTTTGGTGGTACAACATTTCCACAGTCACATAATCTAGCAGTTTAATCAAAGAACACCCTTCACTTTATGATCAGTTAATTTTTATGTAGTATTTTAATTTTTGAATTGATTGACTTACGTGGAAGAACAGATGATTTACTTTCGCCGCTTTCTAAAGCAAATTTGTAAGCCGCTTCTGTGTACGTTGGTCTCACTCTTAAGAGATTCTAAATATTTAATGTAAACTTTTTTTTATTTATTGACATATTGCGATACATGGAACCCAGTAACAAATGTATTAAAATAAGTTAATGTCAAGTTTGTCCCAGCATAAATATATATGAAATATGACGTATTTTGTCGCAATCTTTTCAAAATCATAATTTAAAAATGTACCTGGAACTCCTTTCTAAGTTCACTTTCATTGGCTGGTTTATCCAGTGTCATTAACTCAGCCTTTCTTATGAATTCAGGTTTGGTGTGTACACATGTTGGAGCTTTGAAAACGGCTTCAAGTGCGAGGAAAATAATCTTGTACTGCTCCTGAAGTATTCAAAAACCGAATCAGAGATTGACCTATTTCATGAATTAGCTACATGCATTGTAATGAGATATAATTTCCTTTATATTTAAAGGATGCGCTCTCGGGTATGAAGTATGATAAGGCTCCTTTTTTCATAATAATCCAAAACACAAATTATATTTTGTTTTGCAAGATTTAAATACTAGAGTTCCTTAAGTAGATTTGATATTCATATACAATGTATTTGTACAAGGTGTTTCGGAGTATATGATCTATTACAAACCGATAGAGAAATTGAATAGAATGATGTGTCTTTCATGCTTTTATAAATATACAATGTTTCGAATTCAGCAATTTTGCTTGGTATATGCGTTCGTTTCAATGCTTTCTCTTAAGACAAGGACATTTAAATGAAGTGCTTTTCACGTAATTTGACATAAATATGAAAGGAATCCTAAAACTTTTCTAAGTTATAAGATTGATTCATGTTGGCTTTAGATTGATTGATTGATTGTATGTTGTTTTACGTCCCATTCGAGAATTTTTCATTCATATAGAGACGTCACCATATACCAGTGAAGGGTTTCAAATTTTGACTTTCACTCGGCACTTACAGCCATTCAGCAGTGAGGGATTTTTATCGTGCCAACGCCTGCCGTGACACGGGGCCTCAGTTTTTATGGTCTCATCCGAAGGACCCGCAACTTTCGCTTCAAAGTGCCGAGCGCATGGCGAAGGAACAGTTGCTACCCATTTTTTTATCGACTTAGGTCAGTCGCGGCCGAGATTCGAACTCACGACCTCCCGGTCACGGAGCGAGCGCTCTACCGAGTTTGTTTTAGAAGAATGTTTTGTATTTAAAGTTATGGTTAAAATTAGCGATTTTTAGACCACTGTTATGGGGACAGATAAAACGAAACAACCTGTATCTGTAAATAAGATATTTACTTACATAAGTCTGAACCATGTTCATCCTGTTTTCTCTCATTTTCTTCACGTATTTCGCGATGTTGATTTTCCTTTCTGTTTTTCCCGCCTTGTATAAGGCGTCTAAAGCAATATAAGTACCAGTGCGCCCTATTCCTGCGCTGAGGTCATTAGAGTTAAACAAAAAAACAATATTAAACGGTGTTCACTTTTCAAAGATACTTTAGCATCTATTCCAAAAGGTTAAAATAGGCAAGCTCTTTTTTTCTAGCTTGATGACTTAAAGAAGAGCCATAAAATCTTTCTAGAATTACAAGAATTATAAGCACTCACTTAGAAATTTCAAAGAAGCTTTTTTTTCTTCAGCACGAAATAAATGAACGATATACAATATCAATTAAATTTTACCTGCAGTGTACTACTGTGGGACCAGTATTCTGTTGATCAGTTGTCCTTGTCACGTGATCATGAAAAATTACAAGACAGAGCTGTTCCGGTATCCCGTGGTCCGGCCAGGCAGTGTAGTGGTACTGGGTTACTATGCGAGATTTGTTATGCTGGTAATAAAGAAGGATATTCGGTACGTTTTTGCCATTAAACAATTGATGACGTCCATTCCTTACCAAGAAATGTAGCATGCATATTTAATAAATGCGTAATTTTCGTTTAAGCATGGATGGTTTTCAAGCTCTTTGAAAATGTAATTTATTATTGCTTCTATGCTTTGCAGTACTTCTCAACACTGTGAAGCGAAATCACTGAATTTCAATTTTGTTTATTTTAAATGTTTTTCTTTTATGTTGCTTTATGCAATACAGGTTTCTTCCATCATAAGATGCAAAGTATTTGACTTTTATAACATGAACATATAATTTGCAAACATCAATAGTACCAGACCGGTATTGATAATGAAAAAATGGTACACGTATGGATGATTTTTTTTTTAGTATGGACAGTTTGATCCCTTGTCTTATACGAAATAATTCCAGTAAGAGCTGTCAGTCCTTATAAAAAAATAACAGACATGTTTTGAATTATACATTTTTTATCTGATTGTGCAATTAGAACTTTTAAACATAATAAATAAGTACTTACCACTTTATGGGTTACTCTAAATCTCCTGATTGTATAGTTGGCGTAAGTTTGCTCCTCCTCCGCCAGCAAGGAGATAACACCCAATGTAGTAGATTGATACAGACTTGGCCAGTACTTGGAACATTTCGCCTTTTTAGAAAATGAAGAATTAGTTAAGATTGAATAATTGAATGGATTCTCATTTAACGTTCAGGCCCAAACGTCTCGAAAACGTTCAGGCCTAAACGTCTCGAAAGGCGATCTCTGGATATCATGGAGTTGGAAGTCCATATGATTCAGTCTTTATATGTATTTTAACCTCAGTATCTCGACCTCATTAATATCTATCGAAAATTGCAAAGTACTCCTGTGTGTCATCGAGTTCAAAAATAGCGAGGTTTAATTATTTTTTATAAGACTTCATCTCCGCAAAATTTTTACTTTAAATTTATTTCACTGCAAAATAAACAGTCATTTAATCACCTTGTTTCCTTCTTTGAGGTTGGTCAGCATTATTATTTGGTTAACGTTTTCCTGCCAAATCATGGTCCAGAAATCTTTAACTGTGTTCTGTCGAGGTCCTGTAAAAGAGAAGACAATTCTGTTTGTATGATCATATTACTATCGTTTAGATTTATATTGTGTTTATGAAGACAAGGAATGTAACAAAAAATAATCAGAACATTGGTACCTTGTGTTGCAATATACTGATTTGACTTGTCGATGCCCTGAAAATAACAGATGAAAAAAGTAATGATATATAACATGTATCGCTTTGCATTTGTTTCTTCTTTATGTAAGACACATAATTGATAGTAGAGAATCGGAATTGATTCTGCAGTTATGGTGAACTTGCGTTCAGTTACGGTTGTTGGACAAAAATAATCTGGACTTTTTTCAAAGACCTATCTAAATATATCTTCAATTAAAAAACTCGGTGATATTTAAACAGGAAGAAATCAGAATACATGTAATCACTTTTCTTTAGTATCAAAAATGCCCTTTATATTTATTATCCCTAAAGTATCAAAAATATCCTTCATAATAATTACATTGAATCGGACACAATTCTCTTTGAAACCACTTACGTCTACGTAATTTGCATTAATGTAGTCTGACTGGTTATTCAGTAGTTTGATTCTGGAATGGTCATCTGAAAGTACATGTATTCGTTATTTTCAGTTGTTGAAAATAAAGTACAATACATAATGCAGATCATTGGACTGTATGTATGCATATTTTAGATAGATTATCTTGATATTGATGTTCAAATATTGTCAACGTGTTATTCATAATAGATGCAATTTTCAGAATTTTTTATCACTCACAGGATGAAACTGCACCTTTCAGTCATCTGAATGATCAATGAAAGGTCTGGATATGTGACTGAATGGCAGAGCTCCGACTTCAGTCACCCTTCAGCAATCATTTAGCCACCTTTCAGTTAACTAAATTGCAGATGTTTCATTCTATTGTACTTTTAATTATATATATATATATATATATATATATATATATATATATATATATATATATATATATATATATATATATATATTCTTCTCTAGAATTATCATAAGAGAAGGCAGAACTTACATGGAAATGTGGTTTTGAATCTGTTTTTCGGTACGTTTTCTGGTTGTTTTCCAGCGTCGCATGGGTACTTCTCACCATATGGCATGGCCTTTTGAACAAATAAAAATCCTTGAATCAATAATAAGTCTTTCCTAAATTTCTTATTTTAAAGAGAAAATATATTTCCTTACCGCATACTCCCGCTTAAAGCCATCATCTTCATTTTTCCGTTTTTCCTTTATAGCGCTCCCCAATTTCTCTACCTCAATATCTGGAATTGTCTCCTCATTCATATAGAAATCTCCATATGGATTTTCTTCATGTATTTTCTCATCATTGTCGATTTCATCTTCACGTTCATTAATTTTTGTGTTCAATTCACGACTCTGTTTACCTTTACTTGGTGTAAGTTTGGTAACTTTTTTCTCCATGAACCGTGTAGTTTCTTCCGTGTTACTATAAATATTTGTGAAATTTGATGTTGTTTGCTCTGAGGTACCTTAATAGAAAGAAATAACAAAATTATGTATGACTGGTTCTTTTTAACTGAAATTAAGTCATGCTTCGTAAAATTATTTATAAAGTATAATTGGAAAAAAATGAAATTAACATGCATTGAACATCTTTTATATCCTTGACAATCAAATACATGTATATATCTCAATATTAACGATCGGAAAACAAAGATGGACATTCAATAATGTTAGACTTACTATGCACATTTGGTGTGACGTATTCCCTATCAGCACTGTCAACAATTGTTTGCTGGTCACTGTTTTTTGAAGTTCTTGATCTGCAATTAGAAAGACTCTTCATACTATTCACGATACCATTTATTTAAACAATTAAAAATATCAAAAGCGAAGAGGGAAAATTTCTTTCATACTTTTCAAAAGATAGATTTGGTTAAATTTCAATTACTTTAGTTATATGTATTTTTTTCAATAATTGTATACTACATACCGTCTGATTAAGATGACGGACAAGATTATAATTGACAGAACGATAACAGCAGCGAGGACTCCGCCAATGACTGGAATCGATGATGAATCCTCGCTTTCTTTTAACTATAAGATTAAAAAAATGCCAAGTTAACATTTCTGACGAACGGGCTCCCTTTAAGATTTAAAATTTATATGTTCCCATTCTGAAGAAAAAAAACTAACCTGTTCCGATTTTGGACACGAGATGGTTTCCGAGCTTTTATCGCTGCATGCTACGAGAAGGGAAAGGTTTTATTTACATTTTGCTGTGCTTTTAAAATCATAATTACAATCACATAATATGATTGAACAAATTTTAATTGACAATGTTAGTTCAATAAACAATTGTTTTCTTTATAATATTTTCACAAATTATTTGTTTATAATTTCATAATATACCTTAAATTCCTTAACATTAACAACAAACAATATAACCTACATATAGTTAATATTCAAAAGAAATTTGAATTACTGAGTAAATAATATCTATCAGTGTATTTGTAGTTGTCACTAATTGAAAGCTTATCTTATTATCTAAGATGAAACCTTTCCTTTTTCCTTTTTAACCGAGACATGTCTATTCTTAAATTTTTTTAACGGTTAACCAAAAATTGTTGAAAATGTGAGGAAGTTTAATGCAATTCAAATGATTCCTTACTTTCAACACAAAGGGATCCATCATATCGCACAGAACAACCATTCATGCATGAACTGTTGACATGGTGACATTGTGTTTCATTTATACAGTTACCGCACGTTTCATTGCATTTATCACCAAACGTTCTGTTATCACATTCTGGAAGGAAACAATTACTACGAATAATGATATTTAAAATTCGATTTTCTTTTTAATTATAAAAGTTCTTTCTTACTATAAAAAAGGGGGGAAAGGAAATGTTTTAGTTTGTGTTATACCAACACCTAATACATTATCAATTGTTTATTTTAAGATGGAAAACATTAACATCACCTTTAAATGAGCCAACATAAAGATTAAATTTTAGCTGTTTTCTTTTTGAAGACATTTTATCATATCTATGAAGTTATAAAAATTAAAATATGAAAAAATTAAATGATTTTTAATTTTCAAAACGCGATCGCTTATGAACTTTATTATTCTATGCAGATTTTTTTTTTTACATAGGGAAGATTGGATATTTAGATACGGTTTTATTCCAAGATCATTTTCCCGTCTATTTATCTAATGATAATAATCTAATCCCTGGTTTAAGAGCGACTCCCCGTTGGCTTTTTGAAAGGTATATTAAAACAATGAATCAAGTTCCCAGTTTCTCTTGACCACGATTTAAAAAAAACCCTCGGGAAATAGTCGGGAAACCGTAATAATATTACATGATAAAATAAGATGTAGATAGTACAAAAATAGGATTCACAAAATACTCAGAAAAAATTAAAATGACTGTTTGAATAGCAGTTTAATTATCAAATGATTCACAGGCTCTTGTGAGGATCGGAGCAATTAATATAATAAATGAAAAAAAAATAACCTTAATTTTAATTTAATACAAAGATCCTGACCCTTTTATTTTTCACATTTATTACACATGTAACAAATTGTGCAAAACACATGTAAAAACGTCTAGAGAAGTAACAATTAATCTTAAAGCACCAAGCTTTTTATTAATTAAGGATTGGTAATAATAACCTACCCTTGTCACACAATGGTCCTTTATATCCAACAGAGCATCCCTCTGCGCATGTTCCGTTGATATGGTGACATTGAGAATTACCGAAACATTTACCACAGATCTGTCTGCACATTTCACCGTACATTCCTTCGTTACATTCTTAAAATAGAACATTTCAGCAATTTTGAAGAATAAGAATTCAACTTCTAGATTTGTTACTATCAGATTAATTTTAACAAGATTAATTGAACGATACAGTACAGAAATAGAAAATGAAGAGGTATAATATTTATATTATGTAGTACTCAGAAATTCGTTTATATAAAGAAATTCTTAAATAACTCCATATTTGGCTTTAACAATAATTGATTAGGTGAAAAACGCTTTATGGCACAGGGCATGAGAAAGAGAGAGAAGGAGAGATGTAAACGAAAATTGATTAAAAACTGTATTATAATCTTATCTTTAGCAATATATACTTTATCAGAAATGAAATTTTCATCTAAAAGAAAAAAAAAAAGCACTGAAGACTTTAAACTTGAAGACAATAAGTTCCAGGTATATTGCATAATTTATGCAGATTTTCAAAGTGGGAATCCTTTTATGTTTTCAAATTTTTATTATTTATAATGATGTTAGAATATATTCAAAAAATACGTTGATTGTTTTCTTTCTTTTCTCATGATTATCAGCACAATGTTTTTAAACTAAAATGATGCCCGGTAGTTTTATACTTCTACACAATATATATTTCTGCTGAAATTTCATTTTAATTTTTTTTATTCAAACACATTAAAGGGTAGCAATGACGTAACAGATGAATTTTACAATCTAAAGAATATAATGGTACTTTTTAACTAATTTCATGACGAATATATATTCAGTATATTGTGTAAATGCAAGATTCAATAACTAATGCATGTCACTAGTCTATTCTGTTTATTTACAAAATATTTTTTTGAATGAAAATAAATGAAATATTCTGCCTTTGTAGGCATAGAAAAATAAATACCTTCTCGACAAAGAAATCCCTTGTACCCTGTTGAACATCCTTCAAAACAAGTGCCGTTGATATGATGGCACTGAGTGCCATTTAGACAGTGCCCGCAACTATGATTACATTTCACACCAAACATTCCACTGTCACATTCTTAAAGAAGGATTACCTGATACATGATCGTTTCATTTGGCATAAATTTGCGGTTAAGAAATATGAAATATGATTTTCTAATTATCAAGCAGCAAAACGTAAAGCAAAGAGAAAAAGTGAATTCTGTTCCTTATCTCTTTTATTAAAGCTTATTTTATAGAAGGATAAGTTCTTTCTACTCATCGAAGTTTCAATTATTTTAACTAATGTGCTAAAGGGAAATATATTGAATATCTGCAGAGGATTAGAATATCTATATCACAAAATAAACATGTATATATACCTTTATCACACAGAGGCCCCTTGTATCCCGCAGAGCATCCTTCGTCACATGTACCATTCATATAGTGACACTGTGTCTCATTTATACATTGACCACACATCTTACCACAGTTATCACCATACATTCCATTGTCACATTCTTTTACAAAGAATAAATAGAATATAATATTCTAATCTTAGAACGCTATAAAGAGATTAGATATAATCGATTTGTTCCTTAGAAAAATCAGATCATGTATGAATCAAGTGTACTATATTCATCTCCATTGCCTTTAAATAATAAGAATTGAAGATCTTTCGTAAAAGAATGAGGGTGACTATCAGGTATTATAAAAGAAGATATCATAACCAGAAAATCATTACGTTCGTCACAAATGGATCCTTTGTACCCTGTAGAACAGCCTTCTAAACAAGTTCCGTTGATATGATTACATTGTGTGTCATTAAGGCAATTTCCACAACTCTGACTGCAGTTAAAACCGAACATGTCGCCGCCACATTCTTTAAAAATGAAATTCTTTTCATTATTAAGTTTTTATTTCTTTTTCTTTCTTTTTTCTTTTATAGTTTTTTTTCCTTTTTAATATGAAATGGGGAATAAAGAGGAAATTTATGTTGCTATATGTTATCACTACAACAGATATAGATCCCATTTTTATATGATACTGTAACCTGTGTTGCTTAAGAATGAATGAATATTCCTACCAATGATACAAAGCTCTTCTTTGTATCCTGTAGAACATCCATTAAAACATATTCCGTTGATGTGGTGACACTGCGAATCACTAAAACAGTTCCCACACCTCTTACTGCAGTTGAGGCCATACATTCCACCGTCACATTCTGAAATAAATTCAATATTTTTAGTTTAAAATGCAGCGTATTTTGACATAGCGGAGATAGATATATATCTCGGAACTGTAATAATATGAGACCTATATAATAAAAATCCTAGCACATTAATGTACATCGTATCTGAATGCCTCATATAACAGTATAGGATCATAAGCATGTTAATATTGTGAACGAAAGATACCTGGAGTATTCTTTAAGCTAGGGGTACATACATTTACAAAATTGTATGCTTAATTTAAGTGGAAGTTGTACAGCTTAGACATTCATTGATTTCTGAATCTTCAGATTTTAGCAATAGATAAAACTACAGGTTTTTAGTTAAAAATTAGAAGATTTACACGTCAAAGAATGGAAAGTCAAGTTTTTTTTCAGTATATAAAACTCTGTTTAAATAGATTACTTTTAATAAAAAAAAAACGACATGTCTCCAAGCGTTTTTACATTTAGAAGCATACGAGAAAATGCATACAAATGCTTAAAATTTCAATGAAACTTTTGTAAATGCTAGATATTTCTAAAATCGTTTTAGGTACAAATTTTCCAAACACAATTTTGATATTGAATAAAAAATACATTTATCAGTTAAACAGAGATTTTGTATTCAAATTTTATGTTCAACTAAAATATGGAGATTACGAACAGTAATCAACCTTAAAAGTCCATTAAACCATACAGATCGGTAACAGAGCAAAAACAGACCTCCAAACACATCAGAGGTGGGATCAGGTGCCATGGAGGAGTAAGCATCCCCCGCCGACCGGCAAATCCTCCGGATGAATCTTGTCAGGATCGGGAAAATGGAAAACTCTGTGTTCAATTCAGTTGTAAAGAATAGCCTAACAATTACTATGAAAAACGTCAGTCAGCATTCCACTTAAAGATAGATTGTTTTTGTTGATAAGGTCATTTTATCGACCACTTTCGACCAATCGATATAAAAAACTTCAGATGAAATGCTACCAAATAATAAGTAGTGTTTGCGCGTAAAAGTTTAAGACATCGATCAGAAATCTCATAAGTACAAAATGAACAGTACAGAGTGTAAAAAAAACATGGACACCTGGAATCTCAAAGATGGATCAGATGTTTACGAGAAGGAATTTGTATTCCCTTGTAACCATCCTCCGTTAGCCCTTCGTATTTATCACGTAGATGGAGCATTCCGTAGTAATTAGGTATAAAACAATAGCTATCAAATGGTATTAAATGTATCAGAGAAAATCCTACCTGATGTTAGCTTGCATTTGCAAACAATGTCATTTGTAAATATAAAAATGTACGAAAAGCTGACTTTAAACGGGTTGTTGAAATCCTTGTCACCTAAACATATTTGTCAGTAGCTTGCCTCTGTTTAAAAGATGATCGTACTCAGTGTATGCTCTTGCATATCGAATCAGCTCAGGACATAAATATTACGTGCAGGATATGTTAAAATATTTCTTCATAAATAAGGGAAGTTAAGGATTGAGAACATTTAGTAAGCACATTTGACAAACACCTTAGTAATGAGATTGTAGTTATCGTCTTCAGGTCGTTAAACATCCAAATATGGAACATTTATGGCAGAATAAGTGGTATTTTTTATTTCCAGTTCAGTGGGGTATAACGAATTGATATAGGAATTTATGTCACTATAATACTTGTTAATTGATAAAACGTCATCAGTATATCAGAGTATTCTCTTATGACCCAAAGCAAGTTTTATTCTTCTAATGATGACGCTTTAATGAATTCTGTAATAAGGAATACAAAGAAGGTCGGCTAAAAAGGTCAATTAAACTATCATAAAATTTAAAATATGCTGAACTTCAAAAAAGTAGTGGAAAGTCCTTAACATTAACTTATTCAAAATCAACAATTTATTTCTTATTGCAAGTAGTGAAATAATATCTTACCAGTTTTGCAGAATGGCCCCTTATATCCTGTAGAACACCCACTTAAACATTTTCCGTTGATATGGTGACATTGTTCATCATGAAGACAGTGACCACAAATTTGACTGCAGTTAACGCCATATCTACTACCGTCACACTCTTAAAAACATGTAAGGTAGCCTATTTAAGGACCCTCTATACACTACAGGAAAATATTTTTTGGGAAAATTATAGTGTTTAAAGGTGTAAGCATTGAGCTTATCTACCACATTTTCCGCATAGGGTGCCTTGCATTTACCCCCAGGAAAAATGTTCAAAGACAATGAAGTACTGATGAGCATAAATCACTGTTGTTGTTTTTTTTTAAGTGGGCAAAATACCTGCACATGAAGTGTTCTACCTATTCATCTTGGCCTATTAAAGTATTGTAAATGTTTGATTTGATCACAAATTAAGTAATAAACTGTACATTTCAATTTCTTTTATTCTTGATCAAAGGGCAGATCACTCAATCTGCATAAAAATACCACAAAATCAGAACTCTCTAGTGTGCAGTGTATAGAGGGTTCTTAAGCTATCATATATTTCAATGTCTAAATATTAACGACAAAGTGAAACAATCTCAACCAAAAAAATGTTTTCTCACATCAGAAATTAGCTTCATGGTAAGTTTCTGTTTTTTTTTTTGTTTGATTGTCTTCTTTTTAAAATGTTTAAAAAAAGGAGACAATGAACAGTAATCTTGTTCAGAAGTCCAAAAAAAATAAGAAGAAGAAGAAGAAACAGAGTAAAAACAATATGTTCCCAAACTTAAGTTTGGGGAACATAAAAAGAATAAAAATGTTGAGCAGGGCAAAATCAGAGGTAGGAACAGGTGCCGTGAAGAAGACAGCATCCTCTCTCGACCGGTCAAACCGTGTGCACGTTGACATGAGCGGCTGACTAAATAGTTCTAACATTCTTATGAAAGAAATCGTCTACACTTTTACTTACCGATAGACTGTATTTGAAAACAAGGCCATTAATCGATGGTTCATTGATTGTATATTGTATCACGTCCCTAAGAGAATCTGTCACTTATAAAGAGACGTTACAATATACCAGTGAAGGGCTTCAAATTTAGACCCTCACTCGGCACTCAAGGCCATTTACTAAATACCTAGAGGAAGAGAAGATTTTCAAAATAATTTATTCAATTTTACTATATGTTCAATAAGATCGTAAAATCAGAACCTTGACCCTAGGCCCATGCATTCCTCAATATAAAAAGAGGCATCCTTGCTCATCATAATCATTCAATTTGTTTGTTTGCTTATTCCCAGACAGAGAAAAGATTTGTAAAGACATAGTTCATTTTTCTATATGATCAACGGAATTCCACATTAAAGCTGAACACGATTCGTAAATAGGCATACGCCATATTCGATTATACTATATACGATATCAGCACCTGGATATACCCTTCGCTTTCAGTACATCTGACTGTTTTATTGTCACGGATATCGGCGTGGAATGGTGACGTGTTCGTACTGGTTATTTCGCCTTGCCTTTGTTTATTTATTTTATTGCAGTAACGGCTATTTGTGTTTGTTTGTAAACTGCACTGACCTGTGCAACTGTTGTAAGTTTCTTTGGTATTTTACTATTCCTCCGTAGAAGAAATACACAGTTATTTTTTTTCGCTACCGAGTGCTGTGTATCATGCGTCCTTCTACACCGGTGACAACTGATTATACTGAACAGTGACTAAGGGAGCGGCTTATATCGGGACCTTCAGATATAGCGAGCGAATAATCGAATATGGCGGACGAATTCCTTTTACGAATCTTGGACGGAATTAACAATAATAAAATTTCAAAGGTTTTAGAAGAAATTGTTAAACACATGGAATTGACAGATTAATGGAAAGAAAAATTCGTCAATCTTAATGAATACACATGATGTGATGCAAACAACGTCCCAAAGGGTCGCAAAGATTTTATATTTCTTTATTCATCTCTATTGACGAAAAACCAACTTTGTCTTCGTAGAATCCCTTGTACTCATAATAACGGCACCAGAACGTCAGATCGTAAAACGTTAAAATTTGAATTTTCAATTCATGATTATGAGCGAGGAAGGGGAAACTGGAAACTTAATACTTCACTTTTAGAGTTTTAATGGATATAAATCACAAGTTAATAAATAAATCAAAGATACTATTAAAAGAAAAGGCCCATCTATTGATAAATGGGAGTCCTTTAAACTGTCGATTAAGGATTTCTCAATAGTTTTTTTTCCATCAAAAGTCAAAAAACTTCCACAGAATTCATATTTATGAAGTTATGACGCCAGTTGAAAGATCGGGAGATCCATAAATTTTTGCCCTTTTAAAATAAGTGATTAAAGGTCCTCATTATGAATTATATACGTCACCATTAATAACGTGTCAAGCAGGACAATAGTTAAAGAGTGAAGAAGAAAAAAATCTAAATTTCTATAATAAGGAGTTGTGTCCACACCGTGAAATAATAATAATAATAAAATACTCAGTAATTTTATTTTTTGTTATCAATCTGTTTTGAAATAGGATGAAACCTGTAAAAGTGTTCTGAAGGAATTTTGAAGAAACTTCATATCTAAATAATTCATTTCCATACATATCTTTGAAATTAAAAATCGACACACTTGGATTAAACCTATCTGTGGCGTATTTGTTATCACATCCTTTTAAACTTTAATTACACCTATAAGAGGAATACATGTTGTACAAGTTATATTATTTAAGTGTTATTAAAAAAATCTAAGTGGTATACCTATTAATTTGAAGTCTAGGACTGATCTGAATTTCATCGAAATCCGAAATAGAAAAGGGACATTGAATTTAGTTAACTCACATACATATTGGTGGTGCATAATTCTTTCTCTTCATACTTAAAATTCATATGGATGGAAAAAAAAATATTTTTATAGCTGTTATATTTTTATACAATGCATTACATTATATACAATTTTCTAAAGGAAACACTAAAACAATACATTCCAAGCAAAATATGAATAATTCTTTACTAAACTCTAAAACATTTTTAAGTCATCAGACATTGATGCATAGAATATAGATGCTGTGAGTTTGTTTGTTTTTTGGACAATTTTCAATAAAGTATCACAAATAGTAAAGAACATATGAAATCACCTTCACTACAACGAAGACCTTTGTAGCCGGGTAAACAACCCAGGCAGTCTCCTGTTGTGATGTTACATCTCTGTTCCTGGCAGTTTTCTGGACATAAGTGTTCACAATTGTGTCCGAAAAATCCTGGATCAAGGCATCCTGTTTTATAAAGCGGGGCAAATTATAGATTGTAAAGTCCGAAATATAAGGGGAATTTAAAAGTCAAGGAGAGGTCATATAATTGATGTCTTTCCGTATTCTAATTAAAAAAAAAAATCTTACAAACTTACCGTACACTTCAAATTCACAAATCTCATTGAACGCATATGTAGAATAATAACTTGGGTATGTAACATTTGGTTTCCTCTCATTGTAGTAAATGACATAACGTCCATGTACAGGACAGCGTATTGTCTGGTTCTCTGTTGGTGTGCCTGTCTTGTTTTGTATCTTATGGAAACACAGGTAACCGTCGACCTTTGCCGTAGTATTTGAAACGTAGACGAAAAATCCAGCAAATCGCTCGGTGTATCTGCTAGGACCTTAAAAGAAAATTCATGATTATTTGTTTTAGGCTGGTAATTAACTAGGTTCGTTCTAATGATAATGATCTCCTTCTTTTATAGCATATCATATTATGACCTTGCACAGGGAAATTTATTGTCAGGTTCTCTGTTACTGTCTACATTCTATTTGAGAAAACGGTTCTCAAACTTTTTCTTTGTTTCATATTGTATTTTGGTTTACTTAGTATTTCAATTTTAAGGATTGGACCTACGACAGAAAAGATGACTAGACATTATATCAGACATAAAAATTCATAAAACAATCCGCACAATTACGCAAGATTTTCTACCTTTTGTAGCAAAAATGTTTTTTAAGTGGTGTCATTCATTTAGTGTATTTTATTTAAAGAAGGGCCAAGTTACAGCTAAGTTGTATGACGAACGAATTGAGAATTGACTTCGATATTTCTATCGTCAAAGTAGTTTAATTATTTATGTAGTTATATTCCGTCATCAACTGTGTACGGTGTTTACATCTCCAAACTTATTCTACGAACAGGAATTTTATTTTGAGTACGATGAATTTTGGAACCGGAACAAATTATTGACAGATAAGTGGATGCTACAGGGATTCATCAATCTTGTTGAAAGTCAGTATTTCGTAAATTTTATGGTTGCTATAATGCCCTTGTTAGCAAAAATCACCTAAACTTAGTTTTACTTTGCTGCCGTGTTTTATACGAATATTGAGACCTTTGTTTTTAGACTATTTTTTTTATGTAATATTCAGTCCTCAGTCTACCTGATTAAAACAATGGGCTCATGACGGAATTTATCGATCAACAGGAGATGCTCTCCCCTTCTGGACACCTAGTTCTACCTGTGGAATTCTTAGGGTCAGTGTTTTCTAACCTTTTCTCAGATTTTGTTGCATGTGTTGTTTGTGACTCACGATTTTCCTGCCACCGCATGTAAGAGAGTCTTACAAAGACTTTAGATGAAGGTTTTGTCAAGGGAAAGGTATGCAGTAAACTGACAGCGACATCCTTATGATAAACAATGAACAGATGGCATGATCACGGCGTGACCGAAAGAAAAAGGTGTCGATTTCTCCAATAAAAGAACAGCAGACCTTTGAGTTTTTGTAATTCGTAAATAACAAGTATATGAACGAGAAAAAAGTTTTAGTTTATTTATACTTTCAGGATAATCAATCTATTGGATATCGTCACAAAGTCTGTTGAGAAAGTTGATATTTTTTCACACTGAATTGTGCGTTTCAATAATACACATCTCTTTGTGCGTTTATTAAAGGTGCTTATACACAGATTTGAAGTTAATATTTACTCAAATTTTCTGTATAATTTCATGTTGCTATAACATTTCATACGAAAATTTGACAAAAATCTTACTTTATCTGGAAGTTATTGAAACTTCGAATTTCGAATTTCTGGACGCGTTTGATAGACACATCCTTGCACTTACACAAACTATAACTTTATCCTTATTACTTTAGAAAAGTAGCAATTCTGTTCTTTATTAATAAAAATATTAAAACTATAATGCAGAAATTTCAGAGTAGAAATGTAGAAATCAAAATCCTCTCACCAGTATTGTCAGTCCGTGCTCAGTGGTGTGTGCAGAGTTTAACAATTGAACACATCCGGTGAAACGTAAACATTAACAACAGAGCTCGTGCCCAGTTTACAAAAACAGTTTACGTTTCACGGGTGTATTCAATTTGTTAAACTCTGTATACAACAACACAACACTGAGCACGGGCTGACAATACTTAAGCGAGTGGGTTTTGCTTTCGCACATTTTTACTCTGAATTTTCTGGATTGTACTTTGCATGCACAATGCCTAAATAGTAGTCAGGGTTTGACACATGGTGCACGAGCCGGAGGCATGTAAAGTACAACACTATTGTTATTATTATGCTGACTGTTGTATAAAAACGACAATATTTTCTCCATTTCCAATGTTTCATCTCCTCTTACATTCATGTTAGCTAGTACACCTCTATTATGAAGTCACGTTGTGCTTCATGTACGTCATAATCTTTTTTCTTTAATTTTGAATGCTTCATGCATTTATGTATAATGTACAGATAATTTAAGAAAATTTTAGTTGAGTGAAGGGGGGAAAATTGCAAGAAACTATTTTAGAAAAAAATATTTTGTTTATTTGTGTAGATATTTGAAGATTGTTTTATATATATTATACAACAAAGTTTTAGATAACGGCGTCTGTGGCGTAATAGGTAGCGCGTCGGACTGATAATCTCGGGGTCGTGAGTTCGCTCCCCGGCGTGGGCGCCGTCGGATTTTCTTCACAAAAGAAGCCGTGCTCTATTTCGGCGTAGTATGCTTACGCTATATAAATCCCTAGACCACTAAACGAAAATAGTCAGGTATTGACTATATAGAAACAAACTGACAGGAAGCATAATATTCAATAATACACAACAAGATTGCTACTTTTCTTAAGTATTACGGATAAAGTTAAAAATTGTGAAAGTGCAAGAATGTGTTAATCAAATGCCTCCCAAAATTCATAGTTTCAATAATTTCCAGATTAAATAAGTTTTTAATTTTATTTTCGTGTGAAATGCTATAGCAACATATAAGTTGTGATATTATACAGAAAATTTGAGAAAATATAAACATCAAATCTGTGTCTATGCACCTTTAATTTTGAAAAATAGTGTGCATTTCCAGTTTTGCTCATTTATAGTCGTCCAGATCAGTTACCAGTCTGTGTTATTTGTTTGATAACGTATGCGGAGACAAACCAGTTTTCGAGTCCTTGGGAACAGGAAGGATAACTCTAAAAGGAAACTTCGATACCAAAGATTCTGAAACTATTTTTATGCCCCCGTATCGAAGATTCGGGAGTATATAGTTTTTGCCCTGTCCGTCCGTCTATCTGTCTGCCTGTCTGTCTGTTTGTCCGCCAAAACTTTAACATTGCCCGTAAACTTTTGATTGGTTGGAGCTACGGCTTTCATATTTCAAATGTGTATTCCTTCTGAGAAGACCTTTCTTTGGGTACCACCATATTTGACCTTGACCTTGGAGTTTGACCTAGTTTTACAAAATTTTACCCAACTTTAACCTTGGCCATAACTTTTGAACAGTTGGAGGTAGGGCTTTCATACTTCACATGTGTAATTCTTGTGACAAGACCTTCCTTTGGATACCAACAACTTTGACCCTTTGACCTTGACGTTTGACCTACCTTTGAAAAACTTTAACATTGGCCATAACATTTGAAAGATTGGTGCTAAGGCTTTCATACTTCACATATATAGTCCTTATGACAAGACCTTCCTTTGGATACCGACCGTTCACGGTAGCTCAGTCGGTAGAGCGCTCGCTCCGTGATCGGGAGGTCGTGAGTTCGAATCTCGGCCGCGACAGACCTAAGTCGGTAAAAAATAGGCAGCAACTGTTCCTTCGCCATGCGCTCGGCACTTTGAAGTGAAAGTTGCAGGTCCTTCGGATGAGACCTTAAAGACCGAGGCCCCGTGTCACGGCAGGCGTTGGCACGATAAAGATCCCTCACTGCTCAATGGCCCTGAGTGCCGAGTAAAGGTCAAAATTTGAAGCCCTTCACCGGCATATGGTGACGTCTCTATATGAGTGAAAGATTCTCGAATGGGACGTAAAACAATATACAATCAATCAATCAATCCTTTGGATACCAACAACTTTTACCCTTTGACCTTAGAGATTTACCTACTTTTGAAAAACTTTAACCTTGGCCATAACTTTAGAACAATTGGTGCTAGGGATTTCATACTTCACATATGTAATCCTTGTGACAAGACCTTCATTTGGATACCAACAACTTTGACCCTTTGACCTTGGAGTTTGACCTACTTTTGGAAAACTTAAACCTTGGTCATAACTTGTGAACCGTTGGTGCTTCAGCTTTCATATTTCACCAGTATTTCATATTTCATATTTCACCAGTATATTTCTTGTGAGAAGGCTTTTCCTTAGGCACCATTATTTTTTACTATTTGACCTTGACCTTGATGTTTGACTTACTTTTGAAAAACTTTAACCTTTTCCATATCTATTCAATGGTTGCTGCTAGGGCTCTCATATTTCCTCGAGACAAGACCTTACTTTGGGTACCAACATATTTGAATTGCATTTGGAGAAGTTTAACCTCTCCTATAAGTTGCCATACGGGGGCATCAGTGTTTCACAAACACATCTTGTTTCTACATCAATAAATTTGATTTTAATTTTATTTCTTTCTTGTTGAAATTTATTTCGTGTTTTTGCCCTGTTCACAGAATTGGATTGTTTGTAGATTTTATGAGATGAACGCTGTTCGTTATCTTCACCTTTTTTATTGATGTGTCTCTTATACAATCACGAGTTTATCTTAATTTTTTCTCCATGTATTTCAGAGGAAATTAGTTTTATTTATATTCTATACTTCTATTAATTTCTTTAAAAAATATGTTGACTTATAAAATTAATTTTCTATGGTTGTTTTTCAGCTTATTAACAACAAAATTTGTCATGTTACATATCAAAACTCGATGGGAAAAATATCTTGAAACTTATATTAAAAATTGAAATAAATCGGTATAAATTTATGCTTGTCAAAAGTAATGCTCAGTAATATGAAAA